CAAGCAAGTCAGACCATTCAGAAGATCAGATCTGACAAAGGCACAGAATTCCTGAATGAAATCATCATTCACTACTGCGAAGAAAACGGAATTCTTCATCAGACATCTGCAGCAAGAACACCTCAACAGAATGGTGTAGCTGAAAGAAGGAACAGAACTCTGAAGGAAGCAGTGAGAACCATGCTAGCAGAAGCTTCCTTACCAAAGAGGTTCTGGGCTGAAGCAGTTAACACAGCCTGCTACACTCAAAATAGGAGTATGATTTATAAAAGGCACAACAAAACTCCCTATGAACTGTGGAATGGGAGAAAGCCTAATATATCATATTTCCATATTTTTGGGAGCAAGTGCTTTGTGTTAAACAACGGGAAGAATCATCTGAACACTTTTGATGAGAAATCAGATGAGGCCATCTTCCTAGGATATTCCATGGTAAGCAAGGCGTTCAGAGTCTTCAACAAGAGAACCATGATCACTGAAGAGTCAATACATGTCATTTTTGATGAAAAACATGTGATTGACAAACCATCAAAACATGATCATGAGGTTCTGGATTTATCAGACAAGGATGAAGAAGTCAATAAAGAAGATAGAATGAAGCCCACGGAATTCATTCCATTCAAAAGTCTGCCTCTGAAGATTTCACAGAGAAATCCGGATTCAGACGGTGCTTAGCCCTCCGGAAATTTTGGCCAGCCTTCCAATATTCCGGATATCTCAAACGGCGACAATTCCGGAAATGGCGACCCAGTGCCAATCCATCCGGAAACACCAACAACTTCTGTTCTTCAACCAGAAGCTGAACTAGATCAACCAGTCAATCCCAATCAACACAATCTTCGTTGGTTAAGGGATCATCCTTCTCAACAGATCATTGGAGATATTTAATCTGGTGTTCGCACAAGAAGTGCCCAACAGAATCTAGAAGCTATGCTTGCTTGTTTCATCTCACAAGTGGAACCAAAGAATATTAAAGAAGCTTTAGCTGATTCTGATTGGATCAATGCAATGCAAGAAGAACTCAACCAGTTTTCCAGAAATGATGTCTGGAAACTTGTTCCAAGACCTACTCATCAACATGTCATTGGGACAAAGTGGGTCTTCCGGAACAAGATGGATGAAAACGGCGTTGTTGTCAGAAACAAGGCCCGATTAGTTGCTAAAGGATATTGTCAAGAAGAAGGTATAGATTTTGATGAAACCTTCGCTCCAGTTGCTAGACTTGAAGCTATAAGGCTGTTTATAGCCTTTGCTACCCACAAGGACTTCAAAGTCTATCAAATGGATGTCAAAAGCGCATTTCTCAACGGAAACCTAGAGGAAGAAGTGTACGTAGAACAGCCTCCAGGATTTGAGTTGCACACTAAGGGAGATCAGGTGTATAGACTCAAGAAAGCGCTATATGGACTCAAACAAGCACCAAGAGCTTGGTATGATACATTGTCTCAATTTCTTATAGACAATGGATTCACCAAAGGAGTAATTGACAAGACATTATTCAAGCTACAAGATGGAGAAGAT